GTAGAGCACCTGCTTAGTAAGTAAAGACCCTGAGTTCAGTTTCCAACGTCACACAAAAAAGGAAAAATAACATACAAAAATTGAGGATAAAGTGTAATGTGAAGCTATAAATGCTGGTATTCAAAATAATGGTGGTTTTTGAATCAACAATCGAATCTTGTATAACACCGGAAAAAGAAAACTTTAAACCAAGCAGAACTAGAGAATAATGTTTAGCACAGAAAATTAACAGAATACAGAAAAAAATCAATGAAAGCAAACACCAATTCTTTGAAAAGATCAATAAAATCGATGTCATGTTTATCAACTAGATTCAGTAAGGAACAAAAGAGAAGAATCAAATTACTAAAATCAGGAACAGAAGTCAGCCTCTCACTACTGAATCTGTGGACTAGAAAGGATTACGGGGGAGGCACTGTGAACACGTGTATGTCACACAATTTGATCGTGTAAATGAAACGGCCAAAATTCTTAGAAAGACATGACTTTGAGGACAAATAGAACATTTGGAGAGATCTATAATAAGTAAAAACAGTTATTTAAAAACTGAGGTTTAGAAAATCCCAGATGACTTCACTGATGAGTTTTACCATTTAAAGAATTAACGCCAACTTGTTACAAATCTTTCTGAAAAACCGAAGAGGGAGGGCCTCTTATCTTATTCTGTGAGGGCAGTCTTATGAAATGCAAAAAAGATACAAAAAAACTGCATGAATATATGCACAAAAACCCGTTAACAAAATACAGCAAACCAAGTCCGTCAACATTTAAAAAGTATTACACACTATAACCTGGTGATATTTATCTTGGTATAGGGTTAAATACTCAGAGTAGAATAAAGGACAAAAATGAATTTGACCATGTATTATTTGACAAAACCTATGCACTTTGTTTATAAAAACATGCAATGAACTGCGACTAGAAGGAAACTTCCTACAACTGGCAAGGGGCATTTATGAAAAACCTACAATAATAGCTTATTTAGTAAAGAAAGGCTGATTGCTATTTTCCTAAGATTAAAAGTAAGACAAAAGTGTCCACATGCTTTACTTCAATTTAGCATTGTAATGAATGTGTGGTCAGGACGAAGAGGCAAGAGAAAGTAAGTGACAGCTGTGTTGGACAGGAAGAAGTCAAACTCCCTCTATCTGCAAATGCCACAACCACCATGCAGTGCCCCCAAGGCATCCACTAAGTAACTCAAAGAATGGATAGGGGTGGGATGGGGAGGAGAAAAGAACTGAGCCCTGTAAGGTAAACGCACCTCCTCCCTGAGGGGGATGTAAACCATGGACTGCAAACATATACTAAATAAATAAATATATACATACATAAGGTCAGTTAAAGAAAACAGTCAATTTTTTAAAAAGTCTTTTTTTTTTATTTTTTTGTCTTTTTCCTTTTTATCGGTACCAGGGATTGAACTCACGACTGCCTGCTTGCAAGGCAGGCGCTTATGCCACTGAGCTAAATCCCCAGCCCCTTAAAAAGTCTTTTTGAGACAGGGTTTCGCTATGCAGTTCAAGCTGGTCTCGAACTCACAGCAATCCTTCTGTCTCAGCCTAAGTGCTGGCATTACAGGTGTATACCACCACACACGGCAAGATCAATATTTGTGTATATGAGCAACAACTGAAAAATGAAATTAGAAAATAATTCTACTTATCATTATGAATAGGCATAAATTTAAAAAATATATATAAAATGTGTACTCTGAAAATCATAAAATACTGCTGAAGCCCAATATGGTGGCTTAACCCGGCAACCTCAGCTACCCTAGAGACTGATGCAGGAGGATGGCAAGTTTGATCCCAGCCCAGGCAACTTGGGGAGACTCTGCTTCAAAACAAAATCTAGGCTAGGTTTGTTGGCACACAGCTATAATCTCAGTACTTGGAAGGCTCAGGCAGGAGGATAACAATGAGTTCCAGGCCAGAACTATAAAGTGAAAGCCTGTCTCAAAAAAACAAACAGCAACAAAAAATAAAATTTCAAAAGGGCTAGAGTGCTTAGTTACCATGTGGGGACCTGGTCTCAACCCTTAATGATCACAAACCAACCAACTGACAAAAAATTATTACAATAAATTCAAGAGAACCTTATTGGAAAAAAAAATTTCACATAACTGAAGTGAAAGACTTGATATTATTGGGATGCCACACCTCCAAAGTGATCTACAGATTGAATATAATCCTTACATAATGATTCAAGCTGTCCTTTTCCACAGTCTCATCCTAAATTCATACAGAAAGGTAAGTAACCCAGAGTAGCCGAAATGATTCTGAACAAGACCCAAGTCGCAAGACATATACCTCATTATTACAAAACTTACCCTAAAACTACAGCAATCAATTCAGTGCGATTACAGTCTTACACAGAAATACAGATCAATGGACCAGAACTAAATTTTGACAAGAGCCATAGGACAGTTCAATGGAGTACATTTCTCAGCAAATATGGTATGAAAGACTGAATGAATCTGGATTTCTTCCTTATGTTACACAATCATTCACTTCAAATAGAGCATAAACCTAAGCATAATGAGCGAAGCTACAAGATTCATGAGATACGTGTCTTGCCTGATGGGACTGGAAAGCAGAGGACAAAAGTCACACGTGCTGGCAGCATGGACGCCCTCTTGCCGAACACGGGCCAGCCGCCTTGGAAAGCAGTTTGGCACTTTCTTAAAATACTAAAAATGGAACTACCACATGGTTGAACAATTCTATTCCTAAATGCCTACCAGGAGCAATAAAAATACATGTCCACATGAGAAGTTGTACAACGATGATAACAAACATAAGTCTGTATTAGAAAAACAATAGGAAGTCCTTGGCTCAGTGCCTGAACCACAAGGAGACCACCGATGGGTACACCCTGACGCAAGCAGTAGCTGCCTTTTATGCGTGCTTAATATACTGATGTCCTGGGGCTGGGGGTTTAGCTCAGCGGCATAAGCGCCTGCCCTGCAAGCAGGCAGTCGTGAGTTCGATCCCTGGTACTGATAAAAATGAAAAAGACCAAAAAAAAAAAAAAAAAAAAATACTGATGTCCTGAATCACAGACAATACCACGAATGAAAACTTTCCAGATCAGGAGTAACTAAACCCAAGAACGGAAACGTCTGACAGAGGGTCCCGAGCAAATGGTGGTCAGGGCAGAAACAGCTTTCAAGGGGGTTCTCACCACCGCACCTGCTGCCCCTGCCAATCTTCAAGGAGAAAGGAGAGAGACTGCCCAAGAAGCAAGCAGGCAACCCTCTAGGACCCAGTGTTGAGAAGGGCAAACAGAATGGACAATAGAAGCTTTAGGGGATGCAAGGGCAAAAGAACAGGCTACACAGAAGGCACAGTGATAACAACCGGCAAACAGGGAACTAAATTAGCAAAAGCTAAGAGGTGAAGTAGCACAAAGACACTATTCACTCCTTCACACCCAGAAACACTCAGAAGAGGAGATGAGAGGCCGGTGTGGTGATGTATGCCCTGTAATCCCAGCACTCAAGAGAATGAGACAGGAGGATCCCCATGAGTTCAAGGCCAGTTTGAGGAACACAGTGAGTTCAAGGCCAATCCAAATTACATGGTGAGACCCTGCCTCAAATCACTCCCCACCAAACAAAAGATGAGGGGGAAAGAGAAGGACCCATGAGGACTGAAACTCATGAAGACTGCAAATTCTTTAAGCATTCACGCCTTTCAAAATTATACCATCCCACTTCTAGAAACTTACACTGGGAAATCTGTAAGCTTTAAATTATTGCAACATTATCTGGACATCAATCAATAATAATGGATAATATTCACTGAGTACTTACCATGTCTTGGGACTTGTGTGCTAAATTCATTATGTTCTTATCGCTCCAACCCATAGCACAAACACACACCCACACACCACAGCTAAACTTAAAATTTACAAGTAGCAGCAGGGCTATGAATTCAAATGCATCATTCTCAAATCAGGAAACTACTACTATACCAATTTGTCCCAAGTATATTATCACTGGCTCATAAAATGAGGCTTAAGTGAGATAAACTGAACCATCTTTGTACTTACATATAACCAAATATAGTTAGTATGCCAATTATAAATTAGTTACATAAGATTTCCTTTTCTTGTTGATTTTTGAAGTTCAGGCTGGCCCTGACCTTGCAGCACTCCTGCCTCAACCTCCCAAGTGCTGGGACTGTAGATGTGTGGTGCCACCCCTAGGGGCAAGCTGTCTTTTTGAAACACATACATTAAAAAAAGTTGCTCAACTTTTTTTCTGAGATGGAATTTAGAATCTTTTTTTCTCTTTTTCTATAGTTTCAGTGTTTCTAAAATATTTGTAAAAAGTGCCCTAAAGGTCTTTGTTCTAATCTCTTACAACATAATATAATCACTCTAAAATACATTTCTCTTTGTTTTGAGTAAATCGCTATAGATAAACACATTGAGTTCTGCCTCATCTCTCAGTGAGTATCTGTCTCAGGAAGAAATTGCCTGCTGTCACATTTTCTTTTCTCCATTTTACCCTATCTTTTCTGGAATTCCAGGACCAGGTCATTAACTACTCAAAGATTCCAGAGTATTCTCTTTTTGGTAAACGTTTACAAGGAATCTGGTAGGCATATGAGAATATATTTTAAAGGACAGTGAAGAGGTCAGGGATATAGCTCAGTGGCACAGCACCTGTCTGGCAAGCCGGAGGTCCCGAGTTCAATTCTCAATGCCCACCAAAAACAAAAAAACAAAAACAAAAAAACCAGTGGAATGTCCACCCATGAGGATATCTTTGTCTGTGATTAGCTTCCCACAGAAACCGCAGCCAGCAAGGGCCACAGACTCAGCCCAGAGCTGTGTTTCCCACCATCAGGCACCCCTGAGAACCCGATATAAGGTGAAGGGGCAGATAATACTATCACTGGACTTTCTCTAAGGAGACCAGAACTTGAGAACCTCGGGCCTCCACGGCTCAGGGGTATCTGCCAGGCAGTGGGACGGGGAGCCTTACCCACCTGTGCATGTTCCCGTTGGTGGTGAAGGACTGGCCACACACAGTGCACTTGTAAGGCCTCTCGCCGGAGTGTACCAGCATGTGGCGGTCCAGGGAGCTGGCCGAACTCAGCGACTTCCCACAGATGCTGCATGAGTGATCGGTTCCTCCAGTGTCTGTGTTGTGCTGCAGAAAAGACACAGTCACTACAACCCCTTGAGGAGATGGGCAAAAACTTAGCTGTTAGGACATGCAGAAGTGGAGCATTATAAAAACCAACACATGTTCTTGGCTTTTTTGTTGCTGTTTCACTTTGAGCATTTTCCCAAAGGACCAAAACATGCTAGTGTTACAGCTTGAATCTAAAATGTGCCCCCAAGCCCCATGTGTCTTTGCAGAGGATGATGGGATGACAAAGGGTCTAATTTTGTGTGTGGATTACTCCATGATGGGATGAGAATCTGATGCACCATCAAGAGGGGATGGGATGTGGACGTAGGGTTGGGTGAAGGGGGCAGGTTCAGCAGTGACTAGGGGACGTTATTCTTTGGGTTTTTCCCTTCCTCATCCCATGAAGTGGGCAGCTCCGTCCACCATGTCCTTCACCAAAATGTTCTGCCCACCTCTGGCCCGCAGCAGACTGAATCTTCCAAACTGTGGGCCTCAGTAAACCTGTCCTCCTTATGAGGGACCATGTCAGACTCTGGGACTCAATGGAAGCTGACTCTCATGGTCAGGAATGTGGGCGAGTAACTTATTTTGTGTGACTTTCTTCCACTTCCATGTTCTAGATCTGAAAAATGTTTCTACTGCGAGATCAGAGATCGGCGGGGCTTCTGCAGGTCTTTCTTAGAAACACATACAGATGAACATATGGACTCCTGTGGCAGGAGGAGCCTCAGCTACCCAGCAAGCATGTGAGTTAGGATTCGCTCAGAGAGGCCCTTCCTGTTGCAATCTGCTGACTCAGGCCCACTGTCAGAGGAGGAGACCTGACCCCTGCACCGAGGAGAGCTCTGGCCTCCATGCAAACCCGAATCAAGGACTCGATGCTACTACTCAGCAGCATGTTAGGACTTTAACAGATCATCACTCCTTTACTGTCCTATACTCATCAATGGTCAGCTGTAGTAGGACAGGGAGAAGGGTCAATCCACAAATCTTGTAATAAAGGAAAAAAGATCAGCAAGTGAATAAATTCTAAGTTGCACGATGGAAATTTATACCAACATTAAGAACAGGGATCTGCATCTACAGTCTCATATCCTAAGGGATTAAATTCGTACTGACAAGTCCCATCGGATGGAATCAGATTTCTGTGTTAATCTGGGCTCTGTCATGGTACAGTACCATGAGCACACAGAAATTATTTCATAACTACTCTCCAAGATTATAAAATACGAAATCAAAAGTAAGCACAGTCCATGACTCATCCTTTAGAATGAAAGATCTTGTCCTCTGTGAACAAAGAATGGTTTAAGACAAAAATACAAAAGCTGCAGCCAACCTGACGGATGTGCATAGTCAACTGGTGCTGGGTAGTGCAAATCTTTTCACACAGCGGGCAGTTGTAGGAAGACTTCTCTTCTTTCATTTCCTAAAAAGAGATTAAAATTTTAAATCACTGTGGACGGTGCCTTTTATTTCTGCAGTGAGCCTGTGTCTGTAGGCTGGCGGTAAGCAGCTGAGAGCAGCCGGCCCGAGACCGTGCAGGTACCTGTGCAGGTGGCAGCTTCCCTGTCTGTACCCAGTTTCCTGCGTGCCGGTGGTGTGGACACGCTGTGCTCTGACACAGAATAATGGGTATGTGTAAAGCACTGCAGCAGAGCCTGCTACAGAGGATGGAGTAAGTGCTCAATAAACAGGAGTGTTTCCATTATAGCAGTTGGTGAAAACAGAAGTATCAGTTCCCTCACTTTGCTAGGAACTGAATTGTGTCTCCAAGTTCATCCCAGCTCCAGGCAGAATTTTCTGCCAGGTCCAGGTCCAAGTCCCTGGAAACACATCAGGGCAAACAAGGTCTCAGAAGAAAAGTCCACATTCCTCATGGTGGGAGCCCCTGGGTCTCTGCTTTGCACCCACGGGGCCTAGCTCAGCTCTGTGCATAGCCACCGCCTGCTTTCCCCACTGGTAAACAAGCAGCAAGAAGAGCTCTGCGAGGACCAGCACCTTGACTGACAACATGATGCACCAAACCACCAGCTCCCTCCCTGGTACAGGGCTCACTGTAGGTTCCCTCGAAACACACAGGCTATGTACGCTTCCTTCACGCAGCATCTCACTCTCTAAGAAGAGGCCAACTTCTTTCACTAACCCTTTGTTACAGCTCCTCTCCCAAAATAACTCATGGGGAGCTGCTAGGGCATACCTGTCCTTACCTGCACAGCTCTTAGAAACCATAAGACTCCATCTCTGTCCCCAAAACACAGCCCAGGTTTCATTTCTCTCCCAGGCATCTGGAGGTTAGAGACTGCCTTCAGTGAGTCTCCAAAGATCAGCAGGATGACCGGGGAGGCTCCGGGAAATACAATTCTGCCCCTCCCTTTCTGCCTTTGAGAGGAGGCCTCAGTGTATAGCTCGATTTTCCTGCCTCAGCCTCCCCAGGTCTGGGGTTACAGGCATGCATCACCACACCAGCCTTGTTGAAACTATATCTAGACCCAACTCTCAACACGCCGATAGAACTACTGGAGGGTGAGGTGAACCTCTGTCACCTGGCTCACCAGCTCCTTAGAGGACACTTATATGTGCCCAGGTTTGGGAACAAAGTTGCTAAGGTAGGTGACCAAAATCACGATCACTGGGGCATCTCCAAGCCTCAAGAAAGCAGTTGGGATCACGCTGGTGCTAACTGACTTGGGAAGCCAGGTAGCCTGAGTTGGGTTCGGGGATCTCTAGTGGCTGAGATACTCTGCCTGCCCCCAAAGTGGAGGCCATGTATCATTTCCTGTCCCTGGACATCCTTCAACAGACCTCTTTTTGTTTGTACATATTTGAGTAAGTTTCTGTTTCTTGCAAAGAACACCCATTATTGAGCACATACTATGTTCCAAGCTCTGAATATACAGACACACACAGGTTCTTTCCCATAATGGAGCCACTGTCAGTGTTTGGACGAGGAAACTGGAGTACTGAAGGGTGAGCAACCTGTCCTGAACTGAAAGACAGTTACGAAGCAGGCAGAAAATTAACACTCAGGCCAGCTGCTCTACAGCCTATGCCCTAAACCACGATGCTATAAAAAGTTTGACCAAAAAAGGGTTAGCCCCAAGGCACAGAAAGGAAACACCCTGTGGTTGTTCATGAGAGATGATGGAAATAAAGTCACCCTGAAGACTAGGAACACAAAGAGTACCATGGACCAGATGGGTGAAGTGACTGTGCGTGATGCCACACGGACCGCAGCTCTCCTGGGTGAGGCGGCTTCTCTGCATCCTGGGAAGGTCTCCGCCAGCCACTGGCTGCCTCATTCTCAAATTGTAAGGAGGCCGAGTACCCCAGAGGCATAAAAAGATAATGAACAAGAACAAGAAAGAAACCCTTGCCCTCGCTCAGCTGGCCGCACATTTCCAGTCCTCTCGGCTGTGTGACGGGGGCTACGCGGGGTCATACCTCCCCAGCCCAGGACAACCCCTCCGAGGGAAGACACCACCACCACAGCTACAAAAGCAGAGCACAAGCCCCAAGAACAAGGGCTATCTCACCACTGGGCTAAAACTGAGGGCCAAGTTCAGTCTCCAGGGCCTTTCTGTTAAACCATTAGATTTGCAATACTACAGATTAAAAAAAATTTTTTTTAAAGAACAACTTACTGATATTATGTAAATATACATTAAAAAGCCAATCTTAGCTGGCACAATGGCTTATTCCTACAGTATCAGCTAATGAAGAGGCTGAGGCAGGAGGACTTCTTGAACTCAGGAAATTTGGGACCACTCCATTAACACAGTGAGAGCTTATCTCAGAAAAGGGGGCTAGCCTCTTGAGAAGACAGCATTTTTTCAGAAATTATCTTGTGTTCACCTTGAAGCAGACAGGACACACACTGTACAGAGGTGCAGGAGCTGACTGATATTGACTCTAGGTTTGATCATTAACTGCTACCAGACCTAAACTTGGCAGTGGTGCTATGCAGACCACAACATGGGGCCACAAAAATCCGAGGTGGTCTGGGAGAGTGAGGTCTGTGGGACTGTGCCCCACTAATTTCTGAAAGCAGCCCACTGAGAGAGGAGCATGGGGTGCTGGGAAAGGCCCCCCAAAGAAGGCTGAGCCCTGATGCTATGGCCCTGCTGGTGTGAGAAGGATACTTCCTGAGCTGGAAGATAAAATTAGCAGCTAATGTGATAACTAACCGTTCCATGGTGAAACAATCTGGCACCCTCGTGGGCCTCGCGCCGGGCTAATCTGTCCCGGAACTCGGCGCTCTTGCGCAGAGGCCTTTAGCGCACGGCCTCCCTCCCTCCGCCGCCCTGCCAGTTCGCAGGTGAGGCGATGTCCTTCTTCCTGTACCATCCACTGCGGGCTGGCTCCTTCAAGGGGATACTGTGCTCTCTGTGGCCTGGACTGCCCTTTCAAAACCAAAGCCCAGTCGCCAGAAACCTCAAGGAGCAAGGAGGCAGACACCCAGAGGCAGGCTGCACCCACACTTTTGCTTCTGCGCTGGCCCAGCAGCCTCCATTCGGAACGGGTGGCGGAGGCCTGGGGTGTCTTCTGTGGCCCTAACTGTCTCTGCATGGTGGGCAGGGACCCAGAGCTGGGGCCTGGGCCAGCTCCGCCTGTGCCGGGGCAATGCTGTGCTATTTAAGGCACAGCTCCTGCCTTTGCTCAGCTCACTCCTGCTAGGGCATGTGGAAATAACATGACCTTGTCTGTCTTTTTCACCCCACATGCTTGGCACCTGGCACAGCAGCCAGCTGGAAGGAGGAGCTGGGCCTGTATTGTTAAATGGCTGAGTGACAGAGATGGATGGATGGAGGGACAAATGGACAGACGGAGGGACAGGCATGTGAGAGTGGAGGTAAACCTGTTCTTCCCGGAGCTAGTGCTCCTTCTTGACTTGAACCACAGTCACACAGGCTGAGTGTTTTCTCAGGCACCAATAGGAGAGAGGCACACGGAAGCAAGGAAAAAAAAGAAAGAAAACAGTCAATGCTCCAACCCCAAAACATCATAGCTTCTGAGTCTTCAGTCTTGAGCAAGGTGTGGAGAAATGCACAGGCTCCGACATTCCTGGTGGGTCGTTTGAATGCTTTCCCAGAGAGCAGGTGCTAGCAAAAACCTCCAGTGAGGCTCTACCCCCGAGGATTTACAGAGACACTCTGGAAATTTTGTATAAAGACAGTCATAGAAAGATCTCAGCACTCAGGGAGAGGAGGCTGAGGCAGGAGGATGGCAAGTTTGAGACCAGCCCAGGCAATTTACTACACTGTCTCTAAAGAGAGAGAGACAGACAGACTGACAGACAGGCAGAGACAGAGAAAAATAAAGGGGAAAAAAAGCAGCTGATGATGCAGCTCAGTGCATCTGGGTTAACTGCAGGTTATTAATAAAAAGGAAAACTAATTCACAAAGGTCCAACAAATTTGCTTTCTTGTCTATCTGTGGTTGCTAGAAGACCATTTTCTCTCCAGAAGTTCAACAACACTACACATGCATTTGTCAGTTCATCCTGTCTGACTCCAGGGAAGAGCTCAGTGCTCTATGCCTCTAGCTCCCTCCTCAATTTACCCCAAATGGGACAGAGTGTTGTCACCACAGTGACAATTCTCTAAAGTGTCCTGTTTATCCATTAATTAATTAAAGACTCATCTTACTTCCCAATGGAGGAGACATGGCCTTTTACAGTAGCACTCATCTCTCCCAATTCTTGTCCCCCGTTTACTTTTCCCCCACTTCTCCTGCTCTATACCCATTGAAAATTCAAGAGGACTAAACAGAATCTTTAGGACTTACTTCCTGTCTAAACTGAAGACATGAAAAATTAATTACTTTTTTAAAAACTGAGTTCTAAAAATCCAATAAAGAAAGAAATCAGATCATAGCAGAGGTATTAAGTCAAGGTCACTGCCTGGACCATCATGTGAATAAAGCTTATGTTTAAATCAAATCAAGGGGCAAAGAACAAGCATATTTTCACCAACACTGACATTACAGCAAAGAAAGCTTCCTCTGCAAGGGAAACTGACATAAGCTATGAAAAATCTGCACCTTAAGTGTGACTGCAGCCTCTGGGTAGGAGTTTCTGTAGGAGCTGTGGAACCTTCCCATGTTCTCACAGGCTAAACACACTGGATGCTACCACTCTACACACACTTACCTGGTTCCTTCTGCCAATCCGATTTGGTCCTGGAGGCTTTGAAGGGGACTTGATCCCCTGGGGGCTCCCACCATTCTCTGCCACGTTCCCTACATTCATTACTGCTGACATCATGGTGTTGATGGAAGACAGGTCTGAGCCTTCCAAGCCAATGGGCGAAGTTGACGTCATTGGGACAGGGGTTTACATTTGTAAGAAGTCTCTGCTGTAGAACTGAAGACCAGAAATTACTGATGTGATCATGGTGAGATTCAGGTTTCTATCACAGCAGGTATTGCTGGCTTAGTTAACTGTAAGTTAGATCAAAAACGCCCAACACACCCCTTCTAGTTTGAGCCTACACTCACAACCTGTATTTCTGCTTTCATCTAATGAGGGCTTGGTGCACCAAGACTAACCCTCCACCTCACTTCTTTTGGAGTGCATGTCTCTTTGCTTTTCCTAATCTTTTCTCTCCCCCTAACACCAAGGACTGAATTCAGGAGGGCCTTTGTACTAAGCTACATCCCCATCTCATTTTTATATTTGAGACAGATGTGTGAGTTCAAGGCCAGCTTGAACAGTGAGTTCCAGACTAACCTGAACTACATAGTGATATCCTGGCTCAAAAAACCAAAATGAACAAACAAAACAAAACAACTTTACCAAATGAAACAAAAGTTTAACAACAAAACAAAAACAAAACCCAAAAAACACATGTTTTGCGAGAAGGTACCTAAGTCATCCAGGCTGGACTCGAACTTGGGATTCTCTGGCCTCAGGCTCTTAGAGCACTGGGATGGCAAGTGTGCACCATCATGCCCTGCTGGCTTTCCTACTCTTCTGAGCAGATGTGAAAATGGCAAGCCACGAGGAGGAAGCCCTGACAGCCGTCACTGGCCAACACCCTCTACTCATCTTCTACTACTTGGGGATTCCTGGCCTAAAACTCGGTTTTATTTATCTCCACTGCTATAATATAGTGATTTAATGGGAGCCCCAAATTAGGTAAGAGACTGCAGAAGCCAGCCTTAACAACATTATAACCCAATATCAAATCAGCATTAGAAAGAAAAGGCCCAGTTCTTTAAAAATTGGTAATGCACCTGTACCCCAATTTCCCCACTGCTAGTTACCTCCATTTTCTGCCCCAAGTGACAGCCTTTACAATTTTCCCCAGCTATCGCTCTCATCCATGTGTAGTAGGAAACGGCTGTTTATTTTTCTTCTTCTTCTACTATCACTCGTCACTGGAAATGAAACAGAGAAAAGATTCAGGGAGTGTCTTTTTAGTGAGTGAACAAAAACCTAAAATCATTTACTTGCCACGGTCTCAGCCCACTGTATTCATGAACACACAAGCAGAGTAAGTGAGAGGCGATTTTGAAGTCCTTTCCTCCCCAAATCTTACTCTGCGTTGTTTCCATCCCTAAGTAAGGCGCCCGGCACGCTGCCACTCTCGTTCCTGACAGGAAGATTTCGCTGTGCTCTTTTTTTTCTGAAGCTCATATTTATCCACAGAACTTTCTTAAATGCTACACCCCAGTTTCTCAAAGACTCTCAGATCCCCCCAACCCACCTCATGCCTCTACCTAAACTGACCAAAGACAAAACATATGGAATTCACTGAAGGGTCAGAGTCTAGATGCTTTTGAGTCAGATCTAAAACAATAACAACAACCGCTGGTAACACAGAAAAAGGCACCAAAGGGAGAAATACGGCCCTTGCTGTGTCAAACTTTACCTCAGGTCATATGCATTTCTTACAACTAGAGGACTGTGGTCACTCAGATGGCCAATGCTAATAAGCCCACTGATAAAATGTTGCCCTTGTTTTATCCAGGAAGTCTTTCCTTAGCTGAATGCCTACAGGAGTAATACTTTAATATTCTGCTATCCTACAGTGTCATCAATAAATTCCAGAAGTCTGGCCTGCTTGTCCCAGCTGCAAAGAGTGTGCTTAACAAGAACAGAGTGTCGTGTAGTTTCTCCACCAACTTTAGGGGAGTATGATAACCCCCCTACACCCACACACGACATATGTTCAGCCTCCAGCAACAGAATGGAAAGGCCAGGGGAGACAACTTCATTCACTGCTGCTCCACCAGCTAAGTCTCAGAATAACATCCTACTCCAAGTGTCAAAGGGGAAAAAAGTGCACACAAATGCCATGTTAAAACAGATAAATAACAATAATAAAATCTTGGGAATAGAAATTTCTTTGTAAAGACACAAAATGTGCCTTACTGCCACCATGGCTTAAGTGTGACCCTCAAAGGTTCCTGCGTTGTAAACTTAATCCCCAGATTCCTAGTTAATGGTATCTGAAAGTCAGTCTTTGGGAGGTAATTAGGATTAGATGGTTCTAGCTGGGCCTGGTGGTGCATGTCTGTAATCCTAGCACTCTGGAGGCAGAAGCAGGAGAAGCCTAGGTTGCACAGTGAATTTATGGCCGGCCTGAACTACACAGCAAGACCCTATCTCAAAACAAAACTAAATCCTCCAAACAAACAAACACAGGATCCCACGAGTTCCTGAGAGCAGGGCTCCCACGGTAATATTAGTGGCTTTATAGCTGAGGTGGTGAACTATGGCATGTGTGCTGCAGGGGAATGTCTGTAAGCTCCTCAAGGTTCCCTATCATGGCTCTACAGGAAGAGGAGGAGATCCCAAACTAGCACCTTGCTGTATCTTGCCCTGTGATGCCTCCATCATGTGATAATACAGCAAGAGGACCTCAGCAGATGCTGAGCAATGGGGACACCATGTTTCTGGACTTTCCAAGCTCTAGAACCACCAGCCAAAGTTTTACTCTTATAAATCACTCAGTCCTAGGTATTCTGTATGGTAAAAGAAAGAGTACTGAGACATCTGTTAAAGGACACTCTGAAGACAAATCAAGGAGTTTTCTAAACAGCAGGGAAAAGGAACAATTGCATACAATTGAAGACACCCAGCTGGGGCTGGTGGCTCAGGGCTTTAATCGCAGCCATCTGGGAGGCTGGGGCAGAGGACTGCAAGTTTGAGTTCAGCATAAGCCACCTACCAGCTTAGCGAGACCCACTCTCAAAATAAAAAATGGGCTGGAGATGTAGCTCAATGGAAAGACCCTGGGCTCATTCCCCTGTACTGAGGCAGGAGATCAGGGCATGGCAAACTGGTTAGAGAGGTAGGCATGGCCTATCAAACACAAAGTTTCAAGACACAAGCCCAGAACAGTTCCCAAAGCCTTGTGTGTGGAACCAAGCTGGAACCGTTTTCTCCGGAAGTGCAGACTACAAAGACGGCACCAGGGAGTTCTTGCCCAGTGCTCTCCCTTTCACACAGGTCCTCTCTGCGGCATGTACTTCTTTGCCTACTTAACTGGCCCACATTTATTCTGCAGAGCATGTTTCTTTTCTTCTCCTACCTTTTATAAATGTTAAGCCTTGCTACCTTTTGTTCCTGTTTTATCCTTGCTCTGTACAGAATAAGAACTTAGAAAATATTGCTAGAAGAAGATCCCAGAACCTGGTAACAGTAATACACAGACACATAAACAAACAATGAAAATAACCCCCTCCTGATCCAGCCTCATGTCCCATATCTTTCCTCATACAGGAAAGCTACAGCCAAAACAAAAGGAAAAAACCTAAGTCACTGTCTTCCCGTGCAGTTTCCCCACCACGGCAGATCACTTTACAACAGGGCTTCATGCTTCCTGTTTTTAACTACTCTATTTATTTCCGTGATTTCTCTCTAGGAAAAAAGCGTGCAGATACAAGTGGATACATACACACGTGTACACATACTGCTTTCCTTCATGGCTTGCAACGAACGTATCCTCGGTTCCCTAGGAAGTTTGGCACCAATTGGCTTGTAATTATGTACTTGACTCCTACATGGATAACCTTCACACTGAGTTCCCCTCATCCTTTTAAATCTGTCTCTCACATGGATACAGGTATCGATCTGTATTTACCTATAAATTCATGTGTGTGCTGCTGGGGACTGAGCCCAGGCCTTGAATGTGCTAGGACAGTGTGCTCTGGGCAGGAGAAAGAGGACAGAAGGGGCCCGTGAGGTGTTGCTCTCTGTGAAGCAAACCATGACCAGCCTGAGAGTTCTCCCTGCCACTGCAGGCTCAGCAGATCAAGAAAGACAAGCAAGTCACAATTGTAATTCTCACCTGACTTAGGCCAAGTCTGAGAAGGACCTGGAAAAGCAGGGGGACAATTGTAGGATGAGAAGGAAGAAGAGAGAGGGAAAGAGAAGATCTGACATTCACCATGGCTACGACTCAAAGGCAGCCCATGAAGCCCAGCTGACCTGTTCTCCTTATAATGCTGCCTTCCTTACTGGGGTCTCGACACTGGCAGGGCCCAAATGCAGGCAGAGTCACCCCTCAAAGGCACTGCTTCTGGGGCACAGAGTGGCAGGAACCTGTGAAAATGAGAAAAGTGCTGTTTTAGAGGGGCTGAGACCAAAAATGATCCTGCCTCTGCGTAGTCAAGTCCTATAAAACACCACCAGGGGTCACAGACAAGGATAGGAGCCATGCCCTGGCTGCGGTTACATCAAGCTGCCTTTGGAGGCCACCCAGCAGTGGAGCCATCAGCACTGACCAACAGGTGGGCCCACTGCTGAAGGGACAGCAGAGAGGATGGTTCTGGGAGCTGGCTGCAGGCGCAGCTTCAACCAACTGAAGCATAACATAGGTTAGCAGGCTGATGGTGGGTAATGACGATGCTGCAGTTTACAGGGAAGAATAAACACGGTACTCATGGCATGCACACTAAACAGAATCGATGAAGTTGGGCATGGTTTTGCACACCTGTAATCTCAGTACTCAGGAGGCTGAGGCAGGTGGAGCTAAAGTTCCAGGGCAGCCTGAGCTATACAGTGAGATCGGGTCTCAAAAACAAAAAACACACAAACAAACAAACAAACAACAACAACAACAAAATACAAACAACAGGGCCAGGGATAAAGCTCAGCGTCATAGGCCCTGCCTGGCAAGCAGGAGGTTGTGAGTTCAATCCCCAGTACCAAAAGAAACAAGACTGGAAAATAAGAAACACTATGGGTGGGGAGAGAAGAGAGCTAAAGAAAATTGGAAATATACAACTAACAGTGCCTTAAAGTAAGGATTATCTCTGTTTTCCTGAGGGGAAAGTGCCTGCAACAAGTCAAACCTAACCAAATGTGCACCTTCTCCTCCCTGGGGAAGGATGTGGAAAGTGCCTCGCACGGCACAGGCCCCCATGAGTCGCACAAAGTCGGCTCTGGGTTGCCAGGGGATCTCAGAGCCCCAAGCTACCTTCCGAGGTGGAAAGCAGTGCTGCCAAAGCTATGGCACCAGCACGCCTGTCTTTGCCTCTGGCACTGCACTGCGTTAGAAGCGAAGCCGAGGAGCACAGAACTGGGCGAAGACTTGGGAGCAGTGAAGGTGCTGGGAGCGTGCAAAAGGGGAGAGCATTTGCCCAGCATGAGTGAGCCCAGGGTTCCATCCAGGGCTGAAAGAAATAAAGGAAAGAAGCAGAAAAAAGCCCATGTGGACAACACCGCGAGACCGCTTGTCACATTTTCTCTTTTGTACACTTTCGGGGTGTCTGGAGACGAGGGGCCAAGGCGTGTCAGAACTCTTATCCCAACTCTTCTGCAACTAGTGTGGCCTGGGCAACCAACCCTGCAGCCACACTGGCCTGGTGGGGAAGGCACCTCAGCCTTGTCTGTCAGAAGTGGCTCCAGGATGGGCCCAGAAGTTTGCCTCTTTTGACACTGCACTGCTTCGACTCCCCACTTTTAATCTGTGCTCTCCTTGCTTGAAAAGTTCTCTTGATTTTATAGTATCTGGGTGTGGTGGCATACCCCTGTAATCCCAGCACTCTGAGAGGCTGTAGCAGGAGGGGCAAAAGTTTGAACTGGGCTGAGGCAACTTAATGACTTCCGTAAAACCCTGTCCCAGAGCTTAACATTAAAAAAGGTTGGGGATAAAGCTCAGTGCAAAGGGCTTGCCTTGTGTTCAATCTCCAGCATGCAAAACGAAAAAGGGAAAAAGGAAAATAGGTAAAGAAACAAAACAAACAAGGAAAGCAACTGTGCTTTCCTTGATGTCTATGTGTGTGACTTGAAGACCCTAAAGCTAGCGCAACCTGCTGCCTCCCCAGCAGTGCCCAGTGCTTCCTTGAGAAGCTGATGAAATTTCTGTGCCCCTACCCAAATGCACCTACTCTATAGGCAAACTCTTCCTCACTACCAAGGAGGTCAGGGACCCCAGAAACCCACCCCGGAGCAGGCGGCAGGGTAAGAGTCCTTGGATTACTTGATATATGATCCATCTTCTTCTTTTTTTTGGGGGGGGGGTACCAGGGATCGAACTCACAACCACAGGCTTGCAAGGCAGGCACCTATGCCATTGAGCTACATCTCTGGACCCCTGATCCATCTTCTTTTAAACTGTTAATCAAATCAACTTCATTAAAATTCCCATGCAGTTTTCAGAAATGCACAAATTGAAAATATCCTCCCAGATCATGTCTACATATTTCAACTTGCACCATGAGAAACTAAACGCTTAAAAAAAGACTTTCTTTCAGTTTTTATTCATTTTTAAATTAATGGGAGGATAAGGGTACAGCACAATGATAAAAGTCCTATGTAGTATACATAAGGCCCTGGATTCAATTCCTAGCATTGCAAAACAACATATCCACATATACAGTACATTTTATTATTAAGAACGAAGAAAAATTTTGACAAGGCTATGGTGGCATAAACCTATAGTCCCAACACTCAGGAAGCTGAGGCAGGAAGGTTACAAATATGAGGCTGAACTACATAATGAATTAGTTCAAGGCTAGCCTTACTAAATGCTGAGATCCTGTTTAGAAAAAAAAGTTCAAAAAGGTATACCCCTTTTTTCCCCTAGAAACTACTGCATTAAAATCTTCAAAGGTAAAATGAACTGTATTTCTACACATATACTTTCAAAAGCAGACAATAAAGCAAAACTCACAGTTTGGAGTTAGAGATAAATGTCTGGAACTGAAGTTTTCCAGAATATGACTAAAATTCTCATTAAAATTTAGACCCATTTCCTCCTCATTTTAGATGAAATACTTAAAAAAAAAAAAAAGTATACCAATAGCTTCCTCCTCAGAAACAGAACCAAGGGGAAAGGTTCTATGTTACAGCAAAAGGCCAAGTTGTGACACTTTGAAACCCCATCCTCTGAACTTGGACACGAATGATTCGAATATTGAGAATGTGTTCCAATTGAGCTCAGTAACAGGAGTCACTACCCTATCTGTTTTTAGGTTCCATGAGGCCCAAGAGACTCACAGAACTTGGAGAGTGGAAAAGTACAGGATGCTTTTTAGAAGAAATTTCGAGATACCCCTTACCTCCATTACCAATGCCTCAGGACAAAAAAGCGGGGGGGGGGGGGTTGTTTATGCTCCCATAGGGCAAACAGGACAAAGACAGGCTAAGGGAGTTGAGGGAGTTGGGGGAGGGTCCAGGATGCCGGAGTTTCTAGGTTTTCATTTCCATAGGCCTTGCAAAAAACTCTGCAGTATGGTAGAATGTTCTGGGGAGGGCAGAGGTCCTTTTGAAAGGAGGAGGGGCAGAGGAAGGCTGGCCCAACCCCCAGCCCCCAGTCCCCAGTCCCCAGCCCCCAGCCCTCAGCCCTCAGCCCTCAGCATCCAGCCCCCAGGAGATAAGGGACAATGCTTTGTAAAGCCAGACAGAGAAGATTAAGGAGCCTGTCTCCAGGTCCAGGGAGATAGCAACTGAAGAAGACATGAAAGATAAAGGGGAAGATGCTTTAGGAGCAAAGGGCAGCATCTCAGCTACTTAAAAATCCCAGGGTTTTTGAAGTAAAATCTAAAATCTGTCCATAGGCCCCCAAGAAATAAGGGGTAAGCTGAGATGCCTAGGATGGTGGACTCTGCAACACCCATGCAGGATGGTACAGAGCTGTAATTCAGTGTTCGCAAAGCATGGCGAAGCAGCACAGGCCCGTGGAGGACCAGGGGCTCAGACACTAAGAAGGTCTGACTGCATGGGAGCCTGCAAGCGACTAGGCTTCCTGAAGGGCAGGCCAGGCAGGGGGACAGAGCCCCATCAGACTAGCTGTGCTGCACCAGCCCAGCCTGCTTCCCTCCCGCCTGCAGAGCCCGGGGCAAAACTGCCTTTCCTGATGAGGATGGCCTCCATGTGCACTGAAGGCTCAGACAGCTGTGCTGATGGCTCTGAGTTCCAGGAAGTTAATGTGTTTCTTGGCTTAGGGTGTGGGCTGTGCCTTGGACAGGGCGGCAACCCGTGAAAGTCACCCACCCCACCCTGCCTGTGGCTGGCACGGCTGGGCATCACACAGCACCCCCAGCATCCAAGCAGACCCTGTACTACGACATCACAGCTGCTCCAGCTGCCCTGGAGCACCTCTGTGGGTGAAGACAGGCTGTTAAAAAAGATATGGTGTGTGCCCCCAGGCTCGGGACACATCCGAAAGGGTCTTCACGATCTGGCAGAAGCTCATCTCCGACTCTGTTGGCTGTTAGTTCCCATGGTTACATGCTCAGTTCCTTCTCCCAGAGGTACCCTCCTGGGATGACATCCTGCATGATCATTCTGTGCGTGATACCTGATTCCTGCAGATCCAGGGCTCTTGGTTTTGACCCCAAAATGCGGCTATCTCCAAGTCTGCCACCACACTTGAGCCTTGGGTACTGTGCACCAATGCTGTTTGACTTAATCTCCACAGCAGCAATGCTGAAGGTCAGTCTCACGCATAGATAAGAAAACTAAGGCTTAGGGGCGAAGTCATCTGTCTCCAAAGCCTCACAGTGTGGAATGGGAGAGTGAAGTGAATCCTATTTCTGGGCTTACGTTCCCCTTAGACAAAACGTGTGGCCCCGGCACAGGGCTGAAGAGCACAGATACACTCCCTTCGTCACGTTCTCTGCCTTCTCACAGTTCGGTTCTGAGTCACCTCTGCCCTTTCAGATGTTCAGTGTGAGGCCTTCCATTCCTGCCTATTTCTGGGCAGGAAAAAAGACCGCCCCCTCCCCCAGCCCATCCCGTCCCCCCCAGCAAGAGGACAGTCTGGGCTTCACCTCTGCAGAAAAAATTCATTGTAGCAGGTGAGGATTTGGAAATACTGCATTTGCTGTGCAGGGTGATGGAGCCATCACAGTCTACACCCTTGAATTCTAGAAGCTGGCCAGGCTAGGGTGGCTTGAAGGAAGCCCTGAGGTTTGGCTTGAATCCCAGATAGCCTGGTCCTCCAGTGGCTGATGCAACTGATCCACCAATGTGACACAGGCACCAGGTCACCCCTGCTTCCATGGAAATGGTGTGCAGACTTTGAGCAAGAGGGGCCCACGCTTTGGGTCCTGGGGTGTGTGTATGGGGATGGGGAGTGACACAAGCCCTAAGCC